AGCCACTGCACAAAACAAATCCCAGCCGGGTCCGTCACTTTTTTGGGTCCCCTTGAAACATTTCCGTTGTGGTCCGTGCTATTTGCAGCGCGTTTCTTCATTTGCATGTGTTGTGAGGATTTGCAGCGCGTTTCTTCATTTGCGTGTGTTGTGAGGATTTGCAGCGTTTCTTCATTTGCGTGTGCTGTGAGGATTTGCAGCGCGTGTGTTGTCAAACTGATGAAGATGTTTTCTTAATTTGCTGGTGTTTTTTCAATTTGCATGTGTTTTCTTAAGTTGCAGCGCATTGAGCTCTCTGGGCCACCGTAATATATGGTTGATATTTGCTATTTTCCTTTGTTAGATCACATTTATAAATTAAAGTGCTACAACCTTGTGCTGGAACGGCAGGGGCAGAAACACAAAACTCACACTTACACTCACACTCTGACAGACTCTCTCTCTCTCTCTCTCACACACAAGCACACACATAATGTGGGGGGGATGTACAGTGTGTGGTCATTTAAAATTTGTTCTGATATATGTTCTTCACAAAAAAATGAGCCAAGGCCAATGAGTATGAGTTTGAAAAAATAATTAATCGTATAATTTTTCTTTTGACAAAAAGTGAAAACGGGTCCCATAGACCCAAACACCATACAAGGGTTAATATATTACATTACATTACATTTAGTCATTTAGCAGACGCTTTTATCCAAAGCGACTTACAAATGAGGACAATAGAAGCAATCAAAATCAACAAAAGAGCAATGATATGCAAGTCCTATAACAAGTGGCAGTTAGCTTAACACAGCCCACGTAGCAAGGTTTTTTAAAATTATATAATAAATAAAAAGAAAACCGATAGAATAGAAAAAGAATAGAGCAAGCTAGTGTTAGAGGTATTTTTTGCTTTTGTAAATTGTATAATAAATAAAAAGAAAACAGATAGAATACATTTTTTTTAAGAAAACAAGCAGCAAATGAATAGAGTGCAGGTCTAAAAGGGACAAGTTTTTTTTTTTTTTTTTTAAGAATATAATTAAGGATAAACAATAAAGCGACGTTCACTTGCAGAACGCAAGCTTCTAGAGGGCACTATATATAGGCTATAGGTTCCTACGTGAATGTGCCCGCTCACTTTTGCCTAGGCCCAGCCACAAATAAAATTCTGCTAATGCCACTGGCTCAAATGCATAAGCAATTGCACTTATTATGGGCTTAACAGTCCTTTTAAGTTCGTCTTCTTCAATTTCAAAACAAGCGTGCATTCCAAAAGTAAAGAAATGCTTATATTTCTGTACTGGCCATCGGAGCGAACCAACCCTGTGACGTCACACGCTGTGGTACTGCAGGATGGTGGCGCCCTTTCTCCAAAAGCTATAATAAAACATCCTTTTTTCTTTAAAACGGTTACATTAATCGTGTTTGTTACATATTTTTTTATTAAAGTGGAAATCAGTTTACTAAATAATGTAAGCTTGACTGACTGCTTCACTTCCACTTTAAAGGGATATTTGTCTTGTTTATTATTTTTATTTATGCTATTTGTAATTTTTGTGCAATTACTTGCCTGTCAGTCGAGTTTGTGTCAGAACATTTTGCAGTGTTTACATGTTTATTACTGCTTATAATTCATTAAAATATAAGTTTAATTTCATAAAGTTGATTTCAAAATGCACTTTATTCAGTTGAATAAAATGCTATTTTCCCTATATATTTCATCATTGAAGATTTCTTTAAAAAAGTTTAAAAATCTTGTCTCGTCTCCTTCTCGTGAACCCAGTCTCGTGTCTCGTCTCGTCTCGTGGGATAAGTGTCTTCACACTTGAAATGCTTAACTCTGGGTAATTTTAAACCACACGTGTCAAATGTTGCTCCTCTGCAGAGATTACCTCCAATCTGGATTAAACACACCTACCTGCAACTTTGTAGTGATCATGAAGCCCTTGATTAGCTTGTGCAGATGTGTTTGATCAGGGTTGGAGCTAAACTCTACAGGAAAGTGGATCTCGAGGTCCAGAGTTGAGGACCCGTGGTATAAATTATACCAGAAGCTTCCCAACTGTGTTCCTGGGAACCTCTGGTTAAATTCACATGGAATGACACTGCAATTATAATTTTAATGTTCTGTTTTAGTTTATTAGTAAAGCACATTTCACAGTACATATTGTTCCGAAGCCTCTTGACAAGTAAAAGTACCTTACGACCTCTAGTAAATTAATTAAAAAGCCTGTATTTGAATCATTTTCCCCCTTTCATTTAATTCTATAATCAAAATAGAGAGAAATCTTTAACAATAATTATTGATCTAGGATATCAAAGAGTTTTCATTATTGATTAGGCATTCATTTAAAAAATAAAAAGAGCAGTGACATGTTATTGCCTAAAGTAAAATGTGAAGAAACAGCAAGGTTATTCTTCAGGTTTATTAAATATATAATGTAATCCTTTCAGTTGATTCCTGTCATTTCCTGTGATTCACATTCATTCTCATGATGACCAAATATCATAAAATCAGTAGAAATGGTATTTGAAGGATATATACTGGGAACAGTACTATACACAATACTGTTCCTCTTTGTTCAGTAACTGTTTGTGTTTGACAGGTTTCTCAGTTTTACACATAATGATGCTGATTCTCTGTATTTCTGCGTCTGGATCTGCACTCCTGCTCTGCTGTCTGATCTACTGCAGATCTCCTACTAAAGGTATGTGTATAACAGGAAAATATTCTTATCAGCTGTAATTCAGTGGGTTTCAACTGCAAGATTATGACCCAATGACAATTAGTATGATTTTAATAATAATAATAATAATAATAATAATAATACAATTACAAATAAAATTTAAATGTTAATAAACCTGTGTATCCAATGAAACTCTACATTATTCTGGCATAAATACATCTTTCACCAATTTGCCATATGGCTTATTAAACAGTTTAGTGTTTTAGGCTGGTAAATGACACCTGCTTGGCACAAAAAAACATTATTGTTATTATTATTATGGATTTAGGAATTTAGAAATGTATCTATAGTCTTGTAGTTTGTGAAGTCTGTGGTGGTGAGGGAGCAATATATTGGAGGGGAGCAATATATTGGAGGGGACAAAGAGGGAAAATGTTGAGATGTCTACAGTAAACAGTGGGACATACAGGATAAAAGTGTACGTTTGTCAGTTGTGTTTAAGCTTGGAAATGAGGATGATTGTGGTGTTACAGAATCTATAGAACATGCTGTGGATGTGAGTATAATGTACATCATAGTAGCAGTAGTTTGTTTGATTTTATTGAGAGTAGCTCAGTAGGACAGTTGTCACGAATCTTGTCCATGGACTTCCGTTCAATCGCCACCAGAGGTCACCCTTCCATTACATTGACTCCATTACATTGACTCTCGCACTACAAAAACTGTTGCATGTCATCCCGGACTACATATCCCATCATCCATTGCACTGATTGCGCACAGCTGTAACCAATCACACATTCACTATATTACCTTCACTCAGATCCCTTTCAAACTGCCGAGTATTGTATGTGCATATCGCCAGTTGTGATAGCTACGTTACGGAGCCTGCTTTAAGTTTCTTAGTCTAGCCTAGTCTTGCCTTGTCTGGCAAATGGATCCGCACGTCTCACGTCTCGTCAGCCCCGTAACAGAATACTTGGCCACACAAGGATCCAGCAGCTGTTCAAGTGGACATTGGTTAGGTATGGACTCAGACAGCATATTAATAGCCCTTAAACAAGGTCAACGATCGTTAGAGAATCATATTCAAGAATTTTTAGCCATCGCTCACTATTCAAATTTATCGGACATTATTTTGATAGAGTTTTTCTGTGATGGCATTAACCAACCTTTAAGGTCTAAGCTTAGACGTGAAGGTCCGTGTTCGTCACTCAGTCAGTTTCTGGACTATGCTCTGTTGACTGTTGGTTCATCGTTCACTGTGGGTGTCGCGGAGGAACGCGACCCCGCACTCACTCGTGTAATGGCGGCCGCATTAGAGCACGCTCACAAAATGGTGGCGACCGTGGAGCCTGATCGCAAAATGGCGGACACAACAGTGCCCCGTTCTGTCACAGCTGCCAATCCTGAATCAAGTCAAGTCACAGTTGATCTTCATGAGTCTAGTCAAGTCACGGTGTACACCACCACTGAAACTTTAGAGACGGCGGCGGCCACTGTGATGTCTCCCGAGGTGGCGGCTGATGCTGCAGATCCTTCCGAGGTAGCTGGCGCATGCTGCCATGTTTCCCAAGGCGATGGCGCCCGCTGTAGCTTATCCAGAGGTGGCGGTCCATGCTGCAGAACCTCCCGAGGTGGCGGTGCTCGCCTCAGCTCCTTGCGCGGTGGTGGCACCCAGCAACGCACCTTCAGCCTGTCTTGTCACGGTCGAGGGAACCATTACTGAACTCTCCCTGTATCCTGATGGTCCTAATGTAGAACCTCCAGAGGTGGCGGCATTCGCTGCAGAACCTCCAGAGGTGTCAGTGGTATCCACTTATGAACTCTCGTCCTGTTCTGCTCCGGCCAAGGAGGCCATCTATGAACTCGCTACCTGTCCTGTCACGGCTATGAAGGCCATCTGGGAACTCTCTAACAGTCCTGTAATGGCTATGGAGGCCGTCTGTGAACTCTCTGCCTGTCCTGACATGGCTATGAAGGCCGTCTGTGAACTCTCTAACAGTCCTGTAACGGCTATGGAGACCATCCGTGAACTCTCTGCCTGTCCTGAAACGGCTATGAAGGCCGTCTGTGAACTCTCTGACTGTCCTGTCATGGCTAAGGAGGCCACCTGTGAACTCTCTGCCTGTCCTGTCACGGCAATGGAGGCCGTCTGTGAACTCTCTGCCTGTCCTGTCATGGCTCTGGAGGCCGTCAGCGAACTCTCTGCCTGTCCTGTCACGGCTCTGTAGGCCGCCTGTGAACTCTCTGCCTGTCCTGTCACGGCTATGGAAGCCACTTATGAAATTTTGTTCTGCTCTGAACCGGCCGAGGAGGCCATCTCTGAACTCTCGTCCTGTTCTGAACCAGCCATGGTGGCTGATTGTGAACTGTCTGTCTTGTCTGTTTCTGTCAAGGAATCTAAACCTGACCTGTCTGTCTGTCTAAATGCTTCTGTTGTGTCTGAGTTTGAACCATCTGTCAGTCCAGCTTCAATCACTGAACTGTCTGTCAATCTAGTTTCAATCGATGCACCCGGTCTTGATCTGTCTGCCAGTCCACAACTCCCACATGTACTTAATTCTGAATTATCAGTCTGTCCTGTTTCCGTTGGACTTCCGTTCGATCGCCACCAGAGGTCACACTTCCATTACATTGACTCCATTACACTGACTCTCGCACTACAAAACTGTTGCATGTCATCCCGGACTACATATCCCATCATCCATTGCACTGATTGCACACAGCTGTAACCAATCACACATTCACTATATTACCTTCACTCAGATCCCTTTCAAACTGCCGAGTGTTGTACGCGCATATCGCCAATTGTGATAGCTACGTTACGGAGCCTGCTTTAAAGTTTTATAGTCTTAGCTTAGTCTTGCCTTGTCTGTTTCCTCGTGCTCTGGTCATTGTCTGTGTACTTTGGATTACCTCTCTCGTCTTGCCCTGTTCGGATACTGTTTGCCCCTGCCTGGACCTTTGCTTTGTACCTGGATTATCTCTCTAGCCTCGCCCTGTTGGATTACGTTCGTCGTCGACTGACCCTCGCTTGTTTACCGGACTGCTCATGCCCTGTCTTCTATATACCAGTTTGCCAATGTCTGACCTATGCTGTTTCTGACCACGTCTTTAATAAAAGCTTGCAAATGGATCCGCACGTCTCACGTCTCGTCAGCCCCGTAACAACAGTGTTGTGATCCTTGATTTATGCATCATGTAGGACTAATTTGAAGGTGTGAGCAGCCATTAAAGCAGAAGTTACTGTGATATTTGAGATCATTTTGTTAATTAGTCTAAATACACCTGTGTTTTACATGTCCTGTTCTCCTTGTTGACCCTTTTAACTTGTCTTGAGTCTCATTATTCAATGTTGTATTTGAAAATTATCAGCAATAAAGCACTCAAGCAATTATCGAATCAACTTTAGTCAGGGTGAGAAAGAGAGAGGTGTGTGTGTGTTAATTTATGTGTGCAAATGTGTATATATGTAAATAATGTCACTAATGCAGGGACATTAAACATGTTAATTGCCCTTTCCAGTACAAAGTTAGTCTGTATACTCAGAAAATTATAAACTATATGAAACCATTGTTACTTGTCTAACTAAAAAGGCGTCATGCAAACATTTTTATTTTTATATTTCAGGTTTATTTGGCCAGCAAACATATGGTCAATATTTTAATCTGGGATCTTCAGTGGTTTTGCCCTGTCATGTTGACGAATGCTTATTAAAGAAAAAACTGAAGGTGGAATGGAGAAGAAAAGACACTAAGACTCTGGTTCATCTGTATGAAGATGGTGAGAGTCGATCAGAGAAACAGCACCAGAATTATCAGGATAGAGCTCATTTCTTTACTGACGATGTTCAACATGGAAACTTCTCCCTCCGTCTGGACAATCTGAGAGCTGAAGATGCTGGAGAATACATATGCAAAGTTCACAGTGACCTTTTTACAGTGACCAGGACAGTAGAGACAAGTTTGGTACCAGGTAAGTTGATAAAAGATAAAAACAAACAGAAACTACTGAACTGCTACATAACACTATATTAGGGATTCACCAATCTTGATTTTTCATGCCTGATTCCGACTGTAGATTTTTTGCAGATTCCGATAACAGCTGCCCATTTTATTATTTTTTTTACTTTTATTTAATTTTTTAAGCAAGAGACAAGAAAGAATCAAAATATGAGTACATCACGATGTTTATTTGCTATATTGCAGGCAGATCTGTAGCCATTGGAATTAGTGGCAACTACTGCTTTTTATTCACAATCCAAACAAGGATGCTAAATACATGTAGAATAAGCAGTTTTTTTATTTAAATTAAATAAACAAAAACAGAATTGTCTGAATTTAGCTTTATGAAACTATGCTTCATAAAACTTCTGCACGACACAGAAAAAGCAGACAGTTTGAATGAGATGCAGATTCACTCTCTGACAGCAGGTGGCACTCATGGAAAAGCAGATACAGCCTTTTCTTGGTTACCGCTGTAAACAAAGCAGTGCTGCACTTATAAACACTACTATGCATTATACAGAGGCAAGATGAAAATAAAATACCATCTAAACTGCTCTGAAGACATCATCCCCCTCCATATATCTTGCACAGTTTGTTTTTCCTGACCAAATGTTCTTACAATTACTAAACTGTGTGTTAACAGTAATTTGACAGCTTCTGCCGTTGGGTAATTTGTTTATCACACAATTCACAACAGTCAATTTCTCTGATGGGCCTCTTTTACACAAAATCATTGCCTGGTTCCTGTTTTACAGTCTATCCTTCTGACAAACTAAACATGTTATATTAACGCTGATAGTTAACATACATGCAACCTGTCACTCACATGAGATCACAGCAATAGCAAATGACAACAATCCAACGAACCAATCAATTCCAGATGGACAGAATCAAGTCCTGCTCTGTATTTGTTTTCTCATTCAAGAAGCCGTTAAACTCGGATATACATCACCAAGGGAAAGAAAAGACAAAGATCTGGATGCAATTTCTGCTTATCCAAATCTTGTCCAAATCTTTGTCTTTTCTCTCCTTTTGTGATATAGGCTATATCTGAGTGAAACGGCTTCTTGAATGAGTAAACAAATGCAGAACAGGACTTGATTTTTTTCCATCTGGACGTGATTGTTTAATTGGATTGTTGTTGCTGTGATCTCATGTGAGTGACAGGTTGCGTGTATGTTAAAGCTGCAGTCCGTAAGTTTTGCCTCTTTGTCACCATCTCTGTTTGAAAACCTGCAATTGCAGCTATTTTGTGGAAGGATCTTCCTTGCGTGGGTTGTGCACTGGCACGGCTCCAGCGCGGATGAATCTAATGTGTGGCTGTCAGTCACTGCACCGGTGTGGATTCTGCACCTTGTATTCACAGATTCTACATCTTGAAAGTATGACCCAAATAATAGTTTTCACTAGAAAATGTCATCTGAACAAGTAAGTAACAACTGCCACTTTTGTTCTGATCAACTGAGAAAAAAAAGCATTACAATAAATTGTGCTATCAATGGTGATTAAATCTAATGATCGGTTAACTCATATCACATCAAACCGTGCCAATTAATATTATTGTTAAACTTTGTTTTCAAATTGTTGACGTTAATAACATCAGCATTGCGTGAGTGCATGTATTTAGTGTGAATTAGCGTTACCTGTAGATTTAAATTTCTGTAGTGTCTAATCTCTAATTGTCATTCCATTTGAATTCCATATAAAGAAATTGTTCTTGTAACCCAAAAAGCAAATTAAAGTTCGTTACAACTCGTTCTCTTTGAAATAAATATTTTTAGTACAGATGAATCCCACTATCTGTAATCAGATGCACATACTAGAATATAATATAATGGAATTTAATCTAATTTCAGTCGTTTCGTCCTTTCTCTATTAAAATCCGCCATTTATTCTAGCTGCTGTGAGAAAAGGCTATAAACGATCCGTCACCTCTTTGTCACCATCTCTGTTTGAAAACCTGCAATTGCAGCTATTTTGTGGAAGGATCTTCCTTGCGTGGGTTGTGCACTGGCACGGCTCCAGCGCGGATGAATCTAATGTGTGGCTGTCAGTCACTGCACCGGTGTGGATTCTGCACCTTGTATTCACAGATTCTACATCTTGAAAGTATGACCCAAATAATAGTTTTCACTGGAGAATGTCATCTGAACAAGTAAGTAACAACTGACACTTTTGTTCTGATCAACTGAGAAAAAAAAGCATTACAATAAATTGTGCTATCAATGGTGATTAAATCTAATGATCGGTTAACTCATATCACATCAAACCGTGCCAATTAATATTATTGTTAAACTTTGTTTTCAAATTGTTGACGTTAATAACATCAGCATTGCGTGAGTGCATGTATTTAGTGTGAATTAGCGTTACCTGTAGATTTAAATTTCTGTAGTGTCTAATCTCTAATTGTCATTCCATTTGAATTCCATATAAAGAAATTGTTCTTGTAACCCAAAAAGCAAATTAAAGTTCGTTACAACTCGTTCTCTTTGAAATAAATATTTTTAGTACAGATGAATCCCACTATCTGTAATCAGATGCACATACTAGAATATAATATAATGGAATTTAATCTAATTTCAGTCGTTTCGTCCTTTCTCTATTAAAATCCGCCATTTATTCTAGCTGCTGTGAGAAAAGGCTATAAACGATCCGTCACCTGCAGTATCCTCACGTGTGATATAGCATACTAGCCGGGACAACTTCTTTATGTTTACAGACGTGACGTAACTGTCAGGATCATGGCCTGTCTGTGTTGTGGTTTTGCTCCCCATGTGCTCTGTTACCTAGTTTTCCCATGTTTTTGATTGTTCATTGTTTCCAGGTGTTTCTCCTTATTAGTTCATCCTCCTCACCTGTCTGCCCCTCGTTATCTGCCCTATTTTAGTTCTAGCCTGTGCCAATCTCCCTTGTCCGATATTGAATGTGAATGTCTTGTGCTACATGTGTTCCTGTCTGTCCTGTATACACCGTGTTGGAATGATTAAAGACTGTGTTTGCTGCGAATTCTCCTGCATCTCCTCGTTCCTCGCTCCTCAGTGTAGTACAACCATGACAGAATACCGGACCTACAACAGTTTAAATTTCATGTTTACCCTCCGTTTTGTTTTTGGGTTTTGCTCAGTGTTTTTTTTTCCTCCCGTTGTTTCCCTTGGAAAATGGATCCCCTCGCCCGCCCTGAATACATCCTCCTCTTGCTGGAGTAGGGGGAATGATCGCTCGAGGGTCATACCATACTGCTTCTGGCTATTGCCCATCTACTACTATGGTGCCAGCCTCAGCCCCGCGTGCAGAGCACCATCATCCGAAGATGGCCCTCGAGCAGAATTCGCCACCTTCATGGAGTGGACTCTGGAGAGAAATGGATCGCCGTCCTGCCCCATGGATGATCTCGTCAGTTCTACTCCCGACCCAGTGCCCAGCCCACCAACTCCCCGATGTGCGGAGCGCATGCCCGAGCCCACCGCTGACGAAGAGCCAGAGCCCGCCGCGACCGACGAGCCATCGCCGCATGGAGCGACAGAGCTGAGGATCGCCTCGGAGCCAGAGCTGCTGACGACGTCAGTCAAGGTGTGTGAGCCGGCAACAACGCCCGTCACAAGGGAGAAGGCTGCGGATGGTGTGAGCGCGGAGAGGAGCTCCGCCCCCTGCATCGCGGCTGAGGGACGGACGGTGTGAGTGTGGAGAGGAGCTCCGCCCCCGCACCACGGCTAAGGGTGAGCTGAGTATGGCGTGGCGAAGGTGCCAAAACGAAGAGGAGAGGGCTCCAGCCCCCGAATCCAGTCCAAAGTGCCCTCCAGTGCTCGCTCACAGAAAGCGCCCTCCAGTGCCCGCTCCTAGAATGCGCCCTCAAGTGTCTACTCCTCCAGAGCGCAATCCTGTTCAGATGTTCAGCCTAGAGGGGGCTCCTGATCCGCTGTCGTCTGGAAGCCCCTCTGCTCGCCCTCAGCCCACCATCTATTTAGTGCGAGCTCCACGGGACTGCCATCCTCCAGCGTCCCCGTGGCTAGAGTTTCCCTTGACTCCACCTCCAGCTTCTAAGCCCCAGAATCCGCCTCGGCCCATGGACCCGTCGGCTCCCCCATGGCTCCTAGCTCCCTCCTCTCCGCTGTGGTCCGGCAGTCCACTAGCTCTGCCAGGCTCCCTCATCCCTCCGGCTCCACCTTGGTCTGGCATCGACCATCTTGCGCCTCGGGACTCCACTCCTCTGGCTTTGCCTCGTCCCTCCGTCCCTCCGGCTCCATCAGGCTCCTTCATCCCCTCGGTAATGACGCAGCGCCATGCTCGAATTTCCCACGAAAACCTACCCGTACCACTCAAATTAGAAAACCGTTGTGAATCCAGCTAAAGTGAAGCGATAGTTTTGAACACTGGCTGGTTATGTACTTGCTCAAAAAACTATTTTGGATAATTTTTAAACAAAAAAGTTACGGACTGCAGCTTTAAGTATCAGCGTTAATATAACATGTTCAGTTTGTCAGCATAAAGAAGGATACTGTAAAACAGGAACCAGGCAAAGATTTTGTGTACAAGAGGCCCAACAGAGAGCTCAAGAGATGGATATCAGAAGGCAGATATTTGTTGTGTCAAATAAAATCTGGTTTGTCATTGTTGACCATGTGATAAACAGATTACACAAAGGCAGATGCTGCCAGATTACTGTAGCCCAACCCCATCTGACAGATTAGTTACTTTAAGAACATTTGGTCAGGAAAAACAAACTCTGCAGGATATAGGCATTATACAGAAATGACACCACTGTGTTATTGTCATTTTGCATTATTGACTCTATTTTCCTGTTTAATACTGTAAAGTTGCTTTGACACAATCTGTATTGTTAAAAGCGCTATATAAATAAAGGTGACTTGACTTAATAATCAATACACAATTCCTACAGTATTATTGAGAGTATGCTGTCAATTAATTACAGTTTCTACTGCCAGATTTGACCGAAAATCTCAGGGGAATGTACCATGATGGTGGCTATACAAACTCAAGGTTACAAGATTAGTTTTAATTTGAACAAAACCAATCCAATCCAGTTTTGTTGGCACTTTGATGCTGATCATCAACTTTCTGTGTCAACCCAGACTTTGATCCTGAGTTTATGGAGCCATATCAGTGCAAGTGAAAGTTATGAAGTTAGTTTATATAGTTGATGATAATATACAAAAGTATACAGAGACTCAATCATTTTAACTCAAGTCATGTTTAAAGCTTTATCTATTGATTCAGAATGTAACCTGCCCTGGAGCAGCTTAGCCATGGAGCATAAGTTACTATGGACTTTAAGCAGCAACTGCTGATAGAACGGCAACGGCTTCAGGAATTGAAGTGTTAACTGGCGTAGCAAAAAAAAGCAAAATCACTAAGCAGCAAATAAAGAGGACGCCGTAATAAAGGTGTCACCAGACTCGGTCCTGGAGGGCTGGTGTCCTGCAGAGTTCAGCTCCAACCCTAATTAAACACACCTGAACCAGCTAATCAAGCTCTTTCTGGTCAAACTAGAAACTTCTAGGCAGGTGTATTGAGGCAAGTTCGAGCTGAACTCTGCAGGACACTGGCCCCCCAAAAATTACATATTTAAAAAAGCAAGACAAGGGTTGATTTTGGCATTAAGTGATATTCAGATACAATTACAATGCCAAATACCATTAAACATAACATTTACTTACTATGGCACATCAGCTATTCTCCCATAAAATACGCTTACATTACAATGTGACGAAGCAGCAGTTAAAGTTGCGCATGCACAGTAGAATGCCACAATGCTGTTATATAGCAGCTGTTGCTGAAAGTCCGTAATTATGGCCATGAACACCTTTAAATGCCAAGCCACTTTCATGGTACCCAAACCCCAGAGTTGGTGCAAACTAAACTGAAACTTACCTGGCTAGCCAGCTAAACCAGCTTCATGGTACAGGCCCCAGGACTGGGTTCATATTTTAATTGATGGACTGGATATTACAGACATTATAAATTGTAGGACAATTTGGTTAGGGAATGTTGTACTGTAAAATGTTTATTTCAGAGACAAATATATTGCATTGTTTGCTAAATTGGAAGATCATTCTGTTGTGTTTTGCTGTCCCTAATGAAAACATGAAGGTAAGGTTTTAATGATCAACTACCTATGTTACAGGTGTGATCTTTTTGGAGTTTTGTACTAAGTTCTTAAATGTAGCCAAAAACAGTGTGAAAATATTGCCAAAAAGTTTTAAAAAGGAGCTTAGAGTCACCTCTAATATGAGCTTGTGCTGTTGTAGAGATGAAGTGTGAATGTGTGTGAGAGGTATCTGAGAGGAAATCAAAAATACAGTTTGCTCAGAGAGAGAGAATAATCGTCATCACCAGCAATGTAAAGTCTTTTTCAGACATTACACTCGACAAAATATATAAATCAATTTATTTATCTGTTTGTTTGTAGTTATTTCACATTAGAAACTTGGTGTCTGTTCCTTTACAGGATTCAAAGTGAAAGGTTCCTCTGGTAATCAGATGGTTCCTCTTGGAGGTTCAGTGGTTTTGCCCTGTCAGGTTGACGAAAGCTTGTTACAGAAAAGTCTGAAGGTGGAGTGGAGAAGAACAGACTCCGAGACTCTGGTTCATCTGTATGAAGACGGTGAGAGTCGACCAAAGAAACAGCACAAAAATTATCATCAAAGAGCTCATTTCATTACTGATGAAATTAAAGATGGAAACTTCTCCATCCGACTGGAAAAAGTGAGAGCAGAAGATGCTGGACACTACACATGTAAAGTTTACAGTGACCAGGATTGTGTGCATTCAGCCGACGCAGAGGTCGAGATACTGAGTAAGTGAAAATAACTGGACCTGCTATTTTATACCTGGTCAATATATGATTTTAATTTAGTGGTACAATATAAATATTGCATTTCCAGATTTTAAAAATAATATTATGATAATTTTAGTTACTTCAGTCATAAATATAATAGTCTGATGTTATGCACCACTGGACTGGTCATATATTAATTATTCAGTTTGAAAGTGTACCTACTACAGTACTGATAAACACTTTTCTGGACCGTAGATGCTTAATCAGCTCTTCTGTGGGTTTGTGGTGCTGCAGATGTGAGTGTATTTGTTGAAGTATCTGAGAGACATTTCATACAAACTTAAATGTAGATTTAAAAATAATTTTATTAACAGATATTGCCAAAAAAGTGTAAAACTACAATAATAGATCATTGTGGAGTAAAAAATAAAAAAAAAAGAACTTGGCACAATAGTCTCCACAAAAGACTGTACAGAAAACAGGACTGTACAGAAAATAAATGCAGACTGTTTCATAGACAGGGCGAATTCCAAACGGCTTTTTTGCGTCCTTCAAGGGCACTTCATGAAGGGGACGCCATCTGTAGGGACATTCTAAACCAAAGTGAACAACTGAATCCCTTCAGAAGGGCCCTTCCAGAAGTCCGTTAGCGAAGGGATCATGCGATGGTTACTTCACAGAAGTGATTTCCATTTGTGATTATGTGATCTTCGGTTAGGAGATCTTGCGATGCTTTTTAAAACAAAGTTGGGATTGATTTAGACTTCACATACAAACATAAGTAGAATAGGCTAATTAAATTTGTCTATTTCAATGTAAGAAATCATATTTTTTGTCAGTGATAGAAATATGATTTAAGACGGTAGTGTAAGCAGATTTAGTTTGAAAAATATTTGAATGAAATTATAAGAAATATTTATTTGCAACAACTGATGGAGTGCTGAATGCTGCACGTTGTCAAGGTAACATTTGATTAGTCATTCCCTTCGTCAAGGGCGTTCCAAACGCTTACACGAGACAGTAATTGTCAGTCCTGTGTCTTGTGTTTTTCTCCCCATGTTCTCTCCTTGCCCCAGTTTCTCCCTCATATGCCCTTATTTGGTTTTCCGGTTCCTGTTCCCATTAAGTTCCAATTGATTCCAGCTGTGTCTCGTTTATTTCCTCATTTGTTCCATTACTTAAGCCCTGTGTTTTCCTGAGTCCTGCGTCCTGTCTAAACGTCAATCCCTGTTCCTACGTGTGTTTTCCGTGTTCCTTTTGATTAATAAAGACTGTTATGCTAGTACTCTCCTGCGTTCTCTTTGTTCCTCCCTCCTCACAGTATAGGCAACACTGTGACAGTAATGTCCTGCACCCTTCAAAGAACACACTTCAAGGGCTCTGCCCTTCGAAGGGAGTAGGGCATAGGGATGCTCACTTCCGTTTGGAATTCACCCATAGTATATAATTCAGTTCTACTCATTAATATGTAGTTTAACTGCTATTAAGTCCCTCAAATAATGATTTGCATTACAATAAGTAAATAAATAAATAAATAACAAGAGAAGAAAACAAACAACAGGCTCTCACATATTCTGTGCAATTAATAAATGTTTGATCAAATGAGGAGAGTTTATACACAAAACACAAATCCTTAATGTTCATTTGCCTGAACAGGTATTTCACATTAACCTTTTAATTAATTAATTTATTATTATTATTTTCTTTAAGGGTTTGATGTTGAGTGTTCTCGTTACACACTTGCTCCTCTGGGATCTTCAGTGGTTTTGCCCTCTTATCCTGATGAATCTTTACCAGTGGAGGGTCTGAAAGTGAAATGGGAAAAAGAACATGCTACTGTTCATCTGTATCAGGATGGTGAGAGTCGAGCAGAGGAACAAGATGAAGATTATCAGGATAGAGCTCATTTCTTCACTGATCAGATTCAACATGGAAACTTCTCCCTCCGGCTGGACAATCTGAGAGCTGAAGATGAAGGAGAATACAAATGTAGAGTTTACAGTCAGCAGAAATCTGTGTTTTCAGCTTGGACAAATTTGGAACTGAGATTACTAGGTAAGTCAACAGATAAAAATACCTAATCTTGTAGCCTTAATCAATGGGTTAATTTAATAGTTTAGTTTTATATACTATATCTGTGTTTCCAGTAAACATAAAGTGAGTTTGGATCTTCCTAGAGCTTGCATAGCGAAGCGTCACTCTTACCGTCTCACACTACTTCTGTTTTCCATACAAATTTCAACACTGCTATGACTTTTATAATATTTAAGCGACTGGGCACATGATGTTCACACAGCAGGCGAAAAAGCGGGTGAAAAATCCCACAGACTTAACACTGGAGGAACTTTGCAGAGATGGCAAAAGTACACATATTCTTCACTCAAGTAGAAGTACAGATACTCATGTTTAAAAGTTGAAGTACTGACTACACTTTTTTACTCAGGTTAAAGTATAGAAGTATGGGCTCTGACATGTACTTAAGTAAAAAGTAGCCATTACTCATATAAACTCATTACTCACGTCATATAAATACCTTAATACAAAATAACTTACATTTCATATTTTGTTAGTTAATGAATGTATCCAGGCTGAACAACCGCCGTGTAGAACAGGGCCGGACTGGGACAAAATTTCACTCATCCAGGCCATCACACACCCACAACACATTCTGAAACCATGCACAACACTATTTTTTGTTTGGCCATCACATAAAACAGGTTACAATCCTTAGGCTGGGCCGTACAAAATAACTATATTTTCTAAATTGCATAAATGTCAAAATTAGTACAACAATAACTACACCATGACCATTTATTATAAAAAAACAACATAATATTAAACATTTTATTGCATTATCATAAGTCATATTTTTCCCTTATGAAAATTAACTATGGTTTTTATTACAGTAAAAGTATGTAATAAACCATCGTTTTTTTAGTGGCTTGATTACCATTTGTATAACCGTAGTTTTACTACAAATTCCATGATTAAACTATGGTTAGTGTAGCAAAACCATAATTTGTTGTTACCTTAGTAACCCTGGTTTTTGGTTTTATTTGTAGTAAAAGCATGGTTAATTTTAATAAGGGTTGCGTTGTCTGCCCTAGCTCCCTCTAAACCTATTATAAAACAATGTGAATATTTGTCAGCTAAATTACTACTGTAACTTCACAACAGATAATGATGTCCTTTAGCATACAGTATTTTGAGTGATGATAGTAATGGGGTGCTACTGCTAACTGCTAACAGTTTAATGGTGGGGCATCTTGAGAGAGAGAGAGAGATTTTTTGATTTTTGAAAAAAACTTTATTCACAAATAGCCCAAAACAGATAAAGTTACATTTACGCCAATCAAATATTTAGTAAAAACACTCAGAAACAAAAAACTAAATCACCTTCAGTTATTGTACATGACACATCATGACTGCACCATATCAATTTAAAAGTGGAAAGATCATTCATGGCATTATACAAATTAAAATCAATCAGTATTCTTGCTTTGAGTAAAGACCTAAAGGCCATAACCACATCATCATTGCACCCTTGCTAGTTTACTTTTCCTACTCATATAAATCGCCAATTTCGCTTACTCAAAAATAAAATTCAGTAATTGAAACAGAATAAAAAAATTTCTGCGCATACTTAAAACCAAAGATAAAGGTTTCAGGAAAGAAACTCTCATTGAACTTGACACACATTTCTTGAACCAACACAAATAAAGTCTAAAACAATACATGAAAGCATGAAAAACTGTTTCCTCTTGAAAACAGTAAGGACAACCAGGGTTATTGTTGGAATCCAAAACAGAAATAAAAGAATTAACCGCAATAGCTCCATGGAGATTTCTCCATTGCAAATCCCCTGTTTTCTTTGATAATGGTGGCTTATATAACACTCTCCATTCAGGTTTTACATCATCACATAATTTAAAAACTGAACGCCATGGGGTATCAACTCTTTTGTCAAGCATTTTCTTGTTAAGGATCAGAACACACATCTTATAAAAAAACCCTTCCTGTACAAGAAAAGAAATCAACAGAAAAAGATTTTTCTTGTTTTAATAAAATACCTGAACATTCTTCAAAGAACGGTTGGATTGTCAAACAGGGGAAAGGGTCCTCACTATCAGGGGTATTACTCCCTGAAAAAAAGTCCTCCAGAATCAGCTTCTCTTCACTTGTAAATGCCTCTGTCAGTTTAGATAAAAAACAAGTAATTGAGCGAATAGATCGGAGTCCCAGTCCTTTTGCAAGAGCCTCTGTGTCCTTAAAATGAGGTCCAGTTAAAGACAGTAACTGATCTAAAACAAAAACTCCTGAATTTTGTAGCGCCTTGCTGAAACCCATTAAAAAATGGAAGAAGAAATGTCCAGTCTTGCCTTGCAGATTAGAGGCTCCCTTAATAAACAGTAAATGGAATGAAAATTCTCAGTATTTAGGATGTGAAAAAAACTCCACACTTTAAAAAGATTCTGATAAAATAGAGGCAGCTGTGAGAGGTTCAAACTCTTGGGGTCCATCAGAAACCGAGATCTATCCAGAGCAAAATTTCCAACAGTCTGTAGTATAATGCAAATTATAGCTCTCCAGCTTACATTCACTGGTCCATCTAGACATCTTTGTATAAAATGTAACCGGAAAGTTGCAATCCTGCTCTGTAGATGAATTAAACCTTGACCGCCTTCCTCTTTAGGTAAATACAATATGCTCTGTGGGATCCAATGAAGTTTATCCCAAAAGAAATCAACAAAGACCGCTTGAATTTCAGCCATCAATTTTGCAGGGGGGTCAATACATGCCAGTCTATGCCATAAAAGTGAAGCAAGTTATTGACAATAAGTGTTCGACCTCTAAAGGACATGTTAGGTAAAAGCCATTTCCATTTGTCTAGACGACCTCTAACTTTCTGTAACATTCCATCCCAGTTTTTTTGTGAAACACTGTCATCTCCTAAAAACACTCCAAGATATCTTATGCCCCAACTACTCCAACATAAACCTTCAGGTAGAGTTGGTTTTCCATCGATCCAATCTCCTAATAACAAAGCATCACTTTTCTTCCAATTAACCTTTGCTGAAGACCATTTTCCAAATTCCTCTATTAATTTCGATAGGACATGTATATCCTCTTGTTTATTGATTATAATTACTATAACGTCATCAGTATAGGCTGATAAACAAAAATTCAAATCACACTGTTGAACTCTTAACCCATCCAAACTCTTCCTAATTTGCTGGAGTAGTGGTTTAATAGCAATAGAATATAACATACCTGACAATGAACATCCTTGTCTAATTCCCCTATTAACCTTGAATGGAGCACATAAGCCACCATTAATCTTAACTACACTCTCTCAATGTCACTATAAAGAATTTTTAGCATACTTCAAAATTTTTCATGGAAACCGAAGACTTCCAAGCTATTCGATAAATATGAATGTTCCTGTCGAACGCTTGTTCTTGATCTAAGGACAACAGACTGCATTTGATATCAAGTAGTTTAGAAACCTGTATATTATCCCTAATAAAAGAAATATCGTCAAAAATTGACCTACAAGGTACACAGTAAGACTGATCCGGATGGATCACCTGTCCCATTACCTTAGCCAACCTGATTGCCAATGTTTTTGAAAGTAATTTGTAATCACTGCATAAAAGTGAGACCGGCCTCCAATTTATAATCTCAGTGTGATCTCCTTTTTTTGGGAGAAGAGTAACCACTGCTCTTCGGCAGCTCAATGGCAACCCACCCTTCAGTAAGCTATCATTGAACACCTCCAGCAGATCAACTCCAATCTCAGACCAGAAGGTTTTCAGAAAATCAACCGGCAGCCCATCCATACCCGGAGTTTTTCCAGACTCCATACTCTGCCATCTTCAGAACGTGAGGCGTGAATTATGCGCTTTTGTCCATTTTTCCTTTCATGGCCAAATAAATATTTCGAAGGTGCATCCATCTGATCAATGTTCAGAAATTCTGCCCGGACCAGTGCCCCCTGTGTTTTATAATCTAGCAGGTCTTTTAATTCAGCTTTTTTCCTTAAAAAGGTTTCCAAACAATTAATATCACTTGAGGTCTGAGTCAGTTTCTGCAAATCCATTATTTGTTTTTCAAGCACTTCTAATGAGCGAGTTAAATCTTTTGTGACATTTCGAGTGTACTGCTGTGCAAACTGTTTTATTTGCACCTTACCATTATCCCACCATTGTTGTAAAGATTTAAAATAAGACTTTGTCTTTTTGAAAACCTTCCAAAAAGCCTTAAATGATTCAATGAAAAAAATATCATTTAAAAGATTCGTATTAAAATGCCAATATGCACTTTTAGGTTTTACTGAACTTAAAATAAATTTACAACTCACCCTGTTATGATCAGAAAATGGTAATGGTGTGATATAACATTTGTTAAACATGTTCAAATGGTGCTTAAAAACATAAAACCTGTCTAATCTGGCTAAAGATAAACAATTATCACGTGTGTGAGCCCATGTATATTGTCTCTCATTACCATTTAGAGCTCTCCAAACATCACATAGATCATATTTTTCAATGAAATGAATTAAATGTTTATGCGAAGCCATGTGAGGTTCAACATGATTTCTGTCCATATCAAGTTCAGCACAATTAAAATCACCCCCTAAAAACAAAAACTCCTCAGTATAGCAATTTTGTAAAGTTGAACAGAGGGTATCTAAAAACAATCATCTTTCCACAGGTGCAGTTGGAGCATAACTACAAATAAGTCAAAAACAAAACTTTCATAAGTAGCTCTAACTTTTAACAGTCTACCTTTAATAATCTCATTTACGTCATATGAAATTGGTTTAAAAATCCTACTAAACAAAATGGCAACTCCACCACTTAGAGTAGAACTGTGACTTTAAACAGGTATTCCACTGAATTCTTTCATCCAATCAACAACATTATCTGAGCTAATATGTGTCTCTTGTAAAAAAGCTATATCTATACTTTTCTGTTCAATTTCTTCAAAAATGTTCACTCTTTTTAAAAAAAATGTTGCACCATTAACATTCAAAGAAGCAAGATGCACTTCACTCATTATAAAAAGGAAAAATAAGAAAAGATACATCCTACAAAGCCAAAGAAGAAAGCTATTCCTAGTTTTCAT